GTAACATATATTTGTATTGCTACTGGCTTATGGTTTATAATACAAATGGAATACTGAAATCTGATAAACTCTAGCTCGACTGGAGTTTAAATGGCTCTTTCATGTTGGTTATTTATCTTTTTCCAGCTGCTGTTCCCTCCTTTTTCTTCAGAGTTTAGTCTCTGTTTGGCCTCTTTCCCTTCCCTTCCCCCAGAGTCTATCTGGGTCAGGCTATGTTTGAGGCTGACTATATGGGCTGTTGAACCTGCTGTTTTGAGTGCTGCATGAATGGGCTCACTTGCTCTCAAAGATGGCAATCAGATGATGTCTTTGCTAGAGTGCACTAGCCCACCCCAAGAGTATTCCTACCTGCACTTTTTTTAGCCCGTCAAGGGGAATCTCCTTTTTTTTGCTGTGGGTAGGACCACTCTGGTTTGGATTGGTTCCAGCATTTGAGATTGCTGGAAGTGCTCCAAAGCAAGTCTTCCTCTTTCAATTTGCCAGTACTGTGAAGTGACTTAATAAGTGAGCCATTTCAGAATATTGGCAAATTATTCACTTCCCCTGCTTGGCAGAGAGCAGGGGAAGTGAAAAATTGTTTTTGATTGTATGTAGACTAATGCACAACATATTTAAAAAATTTATATAAAAAAAATTAAAAATCTTTTCTTTGCTTCCCCTTAAAGGGTCAATCCAGAAACCATCTGCAGTCAAATCTACATCTGTGGCTTCAGCTGCGGGCAGTTTCTTGACCAGCCCCTTAAGGCCGGCAGGAGCCATTTCCATGTAAACTGTCAGGCTTGAGTGGATTGTTCTAACCAAGCCTGATCATTTCCAAGTGGCCCACACTTGCTACTAGTGTACCATAAACTTCATTTCATTCTGTCTGCTGAAAATCCCCTTAACAGGCGAATGTAGATAACACTGAAGCCCTCTGGAGCCTAAGAGAAGGCCCAATAGGAAAATTCCACCTCCTGGGAACTGTAAATGGGAAATGTTCTTGCTCTTACATGATGCTGAAATTGAGTTTCCTCAAAACAGACTCAGGAAGTTCTCAAACATGTTTCAGGTTGCTATAGTTTAAGGGAGCGCATTTAAGGGCTGATTGACACGAGTTCTCTTTCTGTCACATCAGTATGACTATAGACCTCTTCTTGCTTTAGACAAACTATCCTCCTCCGTGTGGAGGTTTTGTTGTTTGCTCAACAAAATGACATTCAATAAAATAAGGCATATGTAAATACTAACGTTTACTAAATACAATCCAAAGGACAATGCTAAACTACCTATGCTGCTGCTGTGGGCAGGCATTTTGATAGATCTTGTGCAGTTCCAAACAAAAAACATAGAGCAACAAATCTGCAGACAAGCCATGATAGAGCAGCTTAGTAGGCTACCTACTATTGCCCACCTGCAATATATTGCAGCAACTGCATATTGGAAACATTGTTAAGAGGTTGCCTCATTCTAACTGGACTTGTCACAGATTGGTCCCATCTATACTAGCACTTCACAGGCGACCCATACATGGCTATTCAAAGATGAGGTGAAGCAGAATACAGGTGGCACTAAAGAAGCCCTTGTAATTCCACGGTTCCAAAAGAAACTATGCCTAAAGGACAATGTTTTGCTAAAACCAGAAAGAGGTGTTGTGTATAGAATGCCTTTGATTAGCTGATACAGCTTTGGAACACTTTGTCCAGAAGATGTCCAGAGTTGAAACAGAGTTCAATTGAAAGAAATGAACTCAAATGAGCTACTGAGCAGTAGGACTGTTCTAGTGAAGCCACCATTGCCAGAAAGGTATCACACACCTTTTATTACTCTGACTCCGTGACCTACTTAATAACATTTACTGCACCATGGAATTTGGAGGGAGGGATATTTCAATAAAAAGATTCACTCCATGGTGTGAAAATGTAAGACAGATGCTAGATATTATACACAATTTCTTGGCTGGCAAGCCAAAGATATCTCATCATGACAGGGGCAGCATGGGATCTGGGCAGCTCACATACGTGGTTTCCTGGATAAGTCTAAGACCTTACCTTTTTTTAAAAATTAAAATGGAGAACCTTTAAGGATCCTTGTGACATTTCTAACTAGCAAGATGGAAGCATTTAAATTTCCACAATAGTTTTATCTTGCCCCCTGTGAGTTTAGCTAATCCAACGGGGCTGTTGCAGTTTGCTCTTTATGCTTTCTACCATTTTCTACAGGCTCACAGAACATGTTATGGAAGAAGCTATGCAGACTGAGAGACCTGTTGCTCAGGCAGGTGAAGTGGCTGCACAATTTTTAGTGCTAAGGGGGAAAAAGACAGCAAGGGCAGGCGGGTGTGCTAACAAGATGGAATTTTTAAAATAAAGGCCTTCAAAGGAAAAGAAGCATTTGATTAGCACATCACTACCCCTTGCAGTGGGCTCTTTGATGGCTCTGGATAGCACTCATCAGTGGAAGATTAAATGGAATTATTCAAACAGTGGTGCCAGGCACAGAAATTCCAGAAATGACGTCTCTGGCTTTGATGTGAAAACACCTGAAACAAGCTGGGACTCAGACATCAGGGGAAGGAGGTATGACACAGAGGGAGACTGTCACCCAAGGCAGTCACCATGTCTACTAAACGCTCATATCTTGTGGCTGTCCAAAGACAACAGCACTTGAAATTTAGTCCATGACATATAAGGGAACCAACCACGAATTAAGCTATACAGTCAGAACTAGTCTTTTGGTCTTCACTCTTTTTTTTTTTAAATCACAGGACAAAATGTTGGATTCACAGTTCACTTTAAGAGAAGCAGAGTACAGTACTGAAAATTCTAGATGGAGAGTCTCCATCTAGATGGAAGTTCACCGGAGAGACTTTCAAACTTTTAAAACTGTGGCCAAAATCTTATTCCAGTTTTCTGAGTGTGGAAGAGCACCGATGCAGCCTTCCTCTCCCCTTGTGTTCCCTTTTGCACAATTAGTTACCCAAACAGCACTTGCCTGTTTGTGTGAAGAAGAACGTTTCAGAGGAGAAGAACCACTTATAGTGATTTCCATTTTGCAATCACAACAGTAGATTCTAAGCAAACAGAATTCTAGTCCCTGTGCGGAATTTCTCAGTTTGCTTTGAAAAACCATGACTCTGAGTAGTGTGGGGATAGTTAGGGGGATGCTTCTGGATACATTAACTTGTCTACTACCTGCTAGCCGCTTCTGGACTCTGTACTTCTTCTGTGGTCTGCTAGCACCTGCAACAGGTTAATGGGATCAAAGAAAGTGGCTCCTCTAAATGCAATGGTAGTACCAAACTGTTCTCTACATTTTCTTTGCCTTCTTTTGACTGTGGATACAGGGCTTTGCCACCAGTATGCAGCCTCAGCTTGGAAGGCTGGAACCATGGCTATACAGCTCATATCTCACAGTCATAAAAATGGGTAATGAAAGCACATTGAGAAACAGACCTAACAAGATGTAATTGTGAAGTGACTGTAACTGTGCAAAGCGGAAATTCTTCTTTAAAATTGGGCTGTGAAACTTACCACATACATCAATTAAGGGTAGGCACAGTGGAGACAAATGTGCCTTTGGAATCTAACTTGCAACACCACTGGAGGGTACAGAGGTAATTCTCTGGAAATTGGGTGCCCCTTCTCAAGAGATGTTTCTTGTGTTTGGCCCCTAGTCCCAGCTCCTGCCAAGTCAGTGTAAATCAGAGCTTTCTGGCTGCAAAGCTTTGGCTGCTGTGAATGTCAAAGGCTCTGGCTTATTGCACAAGGTCAGTCATTAGTATTTCTTTCAGGCTATTAATAGGCCCAGGGAAACTTAGAAAAGTGAATTACCAGGGGGAACATGGGCTTGGCACAGCTGTTAATGAATTATAATTAAAGCAGCAAGTTGCTCCGTTCCTTTATCCTTTTGCTGGCAGTATTCAGGATAATGGATATATTCTAACCATTATCCTGAATAAATATATATTTAAAGTGAGATTCTCACATAGTAGGTAATTCAGTGTAAACCCACGCACGTGCAGCCTTTAGTGGAAAGGGACCCTTCTCCTTTTTAATGGGGGTGGGGGAGAGAACAGAACTGCATGTATTGGAAGTGGAGAATAAGACATTAGAGCTGATAGACACCCAAACAAGCAAGAAATGCCTGCTCTGTCAGAGAAGTAGCAAGTTCCTCTTTCAGGCAAGGAAATTAGACAGCTAGATCTCAGAGGCACTTTCCTCCAGCCCGTGAAACTATTCCACTCAGTTAAGGGGAAGCAGGAAGGCATTGCCAGCTCTTTCTGTGATGCTGCAAACCTCACTCCCTTCTGATGGACAAGGGATCTGTGTATGTAGAAAGTGATGCACAGCCTTTCACACAATCTGACGTCAGATTTCCACACTCAACATAATGTCACTGGGATGGGGTTGGATGTGTATGCAATGTAGCATGTGGAACAGCAGAGGAACCTTACTCCTGCTAATCCTGTGCAGCCCTCTTCACATTGTATACAGCATGTGATATTCACACTCTATCTAAAATGTGAAAGTTGCCATGGTAACTAGGCTTTCCAGACTAGGGATGTAAATTTTTACTGAATGAAAAAATTCCAAAAGTTTTCTCCCCGCTGGCAGAGATTATAAAAGTTTCTATGCATTTTTTTTCATTTTGGTTCCTTTTTATGTAAAATTTGTGAAAGTGTTTTCAACAAAACACCTATATTTCCACAGAAAGCAAGGATTTGAATGCAAAATCCTTTTTTTTTAAAATGCACAAAATAGGGTGTTTTGGGGTTATGTGGCAAATGTTCAACCCTGAGTGTTCACTGGAAGGACAGATCCTGAAGCTGAGGCCCAATACTTTGGCCATCTCATGAGAAGAGAAGAGTCCCTGGAAAAGACCCTGATGTTGGGAAAGTGTGAAGGCAAGAGGAGAAGGGGATGACAGAGGATGAGATGGTTGGACAGTGTCACTGAAACTACCAACATGAATTTGACCCAACTCTGGGAGGCAGTGGAAGACAGGAGGGCCTGGCGTGCTCTGGTCCATGGGGTCACGAAGAGTCGGCCACGACTTGACGACTAAACAACAACAACAACAACAAGCAAATGTTGCTGCTGATGAAAAAGTGTTGATCTTTTTGCTCTTGTGTAGAGGCTAAAAATCATTCAAAGGTTGCCATGTTTTTTTCTGATAGCATGTCTCAGTGTGTTCAGACACTGTTCATCAAGGACAATAAAATATCAAAATATTATTTACATCCTTGTTCCGGAATCCCTCTTAAATCTGAACACTGGTCTGGACAAATGTGGCAAGGACAAGCCCTAGACACAGGATTGATGCACAACTGTGGTATATGTGGGGCAGAAGCTTTGTTTTCTTGACCTTTGAGATTTCCCTTCATTGAACAGTTAAATAATATCATGAAAGGTGTACTAATAAACAATATTGACTTCCAAACACCTCTAGGTTTTTCATATTTGTTGCACCCATTCCTGACATGGGAGAGTACCTATGGGTTCCATTCAGAATGTATAGTTAATGAGAAACGATACACAAGGAAAGAACAAAAACAAAACACCTGTGCCATGATCTAAATCATCACATAAGCCAGAGGTCCAAACATCCCATTCCTTGAGTTAGCTATTTCACTTTTCTTACATATGACTCCGATTCTACTCCCAAGATCTAAAAACTATGGGTCGATATCCTGCTTCCCATTAAGCTTAATCACCTTGGCCCCTAATCGCCCCTCTTAACTGCAGCCTGCACAGATATCAATATTTATTACAGGGAGATATATTTACAGCATCCCACCTGCTACCTGGCACTCTTGAAAGGGATAAGAAAGCTTTGGTCTTTTTTATTCTCTCTCTCTCTCTTATTAAAGAACAATTCACAGACACCAATCTTCCACTGATCATTGAGAAAAGGGCTACTGGGGGTCAGCTAAGAAATCTAGCCCAAGACAAAACACATGGAGAAGGACAAAGAAGACAGCCATTAGCAGCTCTGTAGAGTGTGCCATTTTGCTTTGTCTAGCGAGAAGGTCCCCCTCATGTCACCCTCCCAGTGGACACAGAAATCTTCTGCTTAACCTTTGCTTGACCTTGCAGAGGGTGTGAGAAACATGCAGATGCCATTTATCCTGATCACATAAGCATCAGTGAATCCAAAGAGGGAATGCAATGAACATCGTGTCTCATTAGATCTATACTGTTCAAGTACTGCTTGCTGTAAACACTTTTTGCTTTTGCTTTTTAACTGCAGGAAATCACATAGTAACTAGGGGAAAAAACAATCCCAACCCAAAAACTAACCACATCCAAAGCAAATAAGAAAGCCAATGAATTTTCACATAACTTACACTTGTAGAAGCACACAATGCACCAGTTTCAGTTTAAATCACTCACAACTTCCTTAGCTTCAAAAGGACAAGACATTCCTAAGGAACTTGGTTGTCAAACACACAGAAAACAGGGAGGAATCTTTGAAACGGGGTTTTATGTCAAAGCCGAAGAGGAATGAAAGACTTCCATAAAATCATAGTGCCCCTTCAGTGGCAAATAAGGAGTATTAAAAAAATATCCGTACTCTATAAATACATAGCTGAAGTTAGTTTCCAAAAACAGATGGGACTGAGTGACTGGATGGCTTTTTAACACACACGTTTTTCCTTGGTGGCCCTTGCAGACACAGGCAGCAGGATTTCCATCCCTCAGTTGCACTTTTAAAGGTTAGGTGCAAATTTGTGCTCGTGGGCCTTTCTGTTTATTCCCAGGAAAAGGAATACTGGCATTCCCTCCCCCCAAACAATTCCACAGGTGTTAAGAGTTCACTTGCAAACCATCCGCATCCGTCTGAGCCATGAACAACAGGGACCTTATGAGATGGGAGGGACAGTGTGTGTGTGTGTGTGTGTAGTGGAATCTTTTCAACACAATAGTTGATGTGGCCACTGTGGTTTTTGTTACATTACATTTTTTTCTTTCACTTTCCTTTTTTCTTTTAAAAAAAGAAAAAAACTTTAAATAGTATTTTTTTTTGTTATCTCCTAATATACATCAAACAACTTTCATGCAAAGCAGCAGTCATGAAGGAATTTAGCTTCCCACAATCTTTCTACGTTACGACTTGAAGAGCTGGACTTCTTCGCAAAACCATCTGGTTTTTGAGATGCACTGTTGCTATTGGTTTTCCTCTGTCTTTTCAACTGGAATCCGATGAGTGAGTTCTGAGCCAACTTCTACTTCTTTTGGAAGGTTCTCACAGTACCTCAGGTGTGTTCCCTGTGGCCTCTTTGCCGGCTTATTCCCAAAAGTCTTTGCAGCAGCCACTTCCTTTTCTTTGTTCTAGGAGTTCCTGCTCCTTTCTTCAGCTCTCCATGGACATGGCACCAATAAGCTGTTCTACTTTGTATGCTAAGCGCTGCCGGCGCGCCTGTTCATCCTGCTCCAGAGCTCCGATGATCTAGAATCAAAGGCAATACTAACAGCTCAGAAAGACCAGAAAATAGAATTTGTTGAGAGAATGCCTTATTAAATGGAGAGAGGAATGATGGGTCATTTCAGTATTGTATTATTTTGTATCATGAATATTTATTTATCATCTGGTAAATCTTTCCAAAGACAGAAAGACTAATGCTGAAGAATTTCCATGTTAGGTAGAATGTATGCAAGTAGCAGTTGGATACTAATGGAGAGGTGATTAAACTAATCCAAGTACTTGATGATATTAAAGGGAAAAAAGGTTGAAGGGGAAAAATCAAAGGGGTAGAAAGAGGGCAAAGTGTAAATTGCCACTGCATTCCTGAATCTGTAGCCATTTCTGTCTTATGGTGTTGGTGCACATTACCAAGAAACACAACCATATTTTGGATGCTGCATTTCCCCTATCGTTGAGCAGGAAAGTAATGAGGTTCTTGTTCCTAATTGGCAAATGGCTGCTGCACAGTACCACAAGCTTATACATGCAATTAAATGACAAAAGCCTTGGCTTTAATAGTTGTAATTGCAAAATAGGCTTTTCTTGCACCGCAAATTAAAGGGATGAACAGATGGTGGGAACTTGGTTTTAAGTGATGCATCCATCAGAAGAGACCATGCTGCCAGCAACACTTTGCAAAAGAGATTGTGTCATGTATTCATTTTTGTGGAGATAAGGGCTGGTAAGACATCTCCACAGGTCTGTTTTTCATTTTGTTGTTTCATTTTGTTTTTGTCTTTTTTTAAGCATAGAGGAAACATACTCTGTCTGCTTTCTTGGAAGACTAGTCTAATCACATAAAGATGAAATGATATCACTAATTGTATTTGAAACAAATATCAGATAATGAAAACAGGGCCCCATGACAGAAGGCATCTAATCACAGAAGGATTTTCTATCTGATTTTCAGGAACTCTCCCCTTAATCATAACTCTCTGTATTCATGGTACAGGATCCCCAAACATCTGTGCTGTTTAAAGGGCTGCTGTGAGGAGGAGGGCATAGCAATGTCTCTTTCCCCTAGTCCAGTTGCAGTGAATATAATATAACTCAGTGAATATAATCAGAAATGAGGCAGCCTCATAAAGATAAAACAGAAAATGTTACATTCTCTGGAGAAGACAGTGGTCTTTTTTCTTTGCTACTTTGCACTAAACAAGTACCAGCATGAAAATATTAGCAGCGCACCTCTTCATAAGACTGATTAAATTCAATACGGCAGGTTCCGTAGTAATTTAGGATTGCAGTCTAAATTAAGTTATTTTCACAAAGAGATAATTTTTTAAAAAATGTTGAAGCTGCATCTTTACATTCATATAAATGGGCTGGCAATCCCACAGTATCAATGATGAAATATCATTTTTTGTAAAATAACACAGATTTATGATCAGTGATACCATGTGGATAATACAAACCCATTTATATAAATTTAGAGACAAAGTAAATTGTAGAGACTTCATAGTAATCATTTTAACATTGTGTGAATAACTGAATTTAGGTTACAATCTTACACCTATTTACCTAGAAATAAGTCCCTCTGAATTCAGTGGGGCTTATATGGAATTGTAGTCTTAGTGTTCAGTTGTGTTTGAATATGAATCTTAGAAGGGCATGCTCTTTTCTCTAACAAATCGTTTGGTATATCATATGCTAGAAAACATGGCTCACATTTTGAAAGTGCAGACACATTCCTAGATAACAGAAGAATGCCAGTCATAGAAGTATGTTGTGTAAGGAAGTATTTAACTCTTCCTATTTCAGGCCAAAGTCAGAAAGTAACTATCAGCTACTACAGGAAGGCCTTCACAAGATTTCCTTTTTTAAAAAGTGTTTATTTTCTTGAACTTTCCTCTGGAGAACTGTGAATTGCCCACAGTTAAAGACAAGCAGGCTAGCTAGCACAAAATTGTTCTAAGTATAACTTTAAGTCCTAGGTATGCCATTGAATTTTTCAGTGTTGCAGTCTCAAAGCATTCTGCAGAAGAAGGGAATGGTAAACCATTTCTGAGAATTCTTTACCTATAAAACCCTGAAAAAAGGTTGCCATAAATCAGAATTGACATGATGACACGTGGTGATGATAATCATGAATGGACAGAAATATTATGAGCACAAAAGGCACAAAATCCTCCCTGCCAAGATGTTTTTCATAAATTTTGTGATGGTGACAACACACAAAGAAAGATCTTTGACAAATATCTAAGAGAATGACTCCCTTACCTCCTCACTGTATTTGCTGACATAGGAGTAGATTTCATTGAGTGCACTTAGCATATTGAAATCAGCAGAGTGCAGGCGTGACTGTTCTGCGAGGTAGGCATTCATGTCTTGGTCACTAATGGCTGGTAGTTTTGCAATGTCTGCGTAATACCTGGGGAAGAAAAGGAAAGTAATGTGGTAACTGCAAGAGGACTGGATGGGTTGTTTCCAAATTTTAGCACGAGCAGCTTGGCTGGTGACCCCTCTTCCCCATAGCAACTCCTCTATCTCTCTCTAAATGCTGTACAGACAGATTCTGAATTGGGTGACCTATAATGCAGGTGGAAAAGGGGGATCTCTGAAAACTGGGCGGAGACACTTTATGTAAACAAACCTTATGTGGAACCAATCCATGAAGAGTGCTACTACTTATTTGTTATTATACACAGACAGACAGACAGACAGACATATGAAGTGTGAATCATGCTGGCATTCAACAGGAAAGTTTAAGCAAAGGGTTGCCTTAAGAGATTAAATAAATCTGGTTGACCTTGTAGACTAGATTATATACATTGAAGTGACTTGCATTTTATGTGTATCATTATGTATCACATTATAGCCACTGTATACTTTGAAGCAATAACAGATGTTGCTGAAAAAAGCTGCACCTAATAAAGAGAAAGCAATCCGGGATGACAGAAGAGTCCCAGTCCTAGCAGTTTCACTTCTTGAAAAAACAAAAACAAAGAATCACTTTTGGAATTCAAGAAGAAAAGAGATTTCTTAGGGTCTAATACTGAAGTCTTACTAAAAAAAATACTTAAAGGTGCACCAGGCTTAACTGAAAACAAAGGAAGGGGAAATTACATCCATAACGTTAATGCATGTGATGTCCTGTTAAGTTGCATCCAACGTATAGCAACCCTATAGGGATTTCAAGGTAAGCAAGATATTTAAGGAATTGTTTTACCATTGCCCCGACCCACCCCAGTGAATTTCTATGGCTGAGGGAGGTTCAAACCTGAATCCTAGTTTGTCACTCTGTCCAACACCACATAATACACCGGCCAAAATTCAAGGGGGATGATCCAGATGCCTTCTTCTATAAACCCCGCTGCTTATTTTAAAATTCATATTTAAAATAATGAATTAGGGAAGTTAATTCACCAAATTATTTTTTGTTGTTGCAAACATTAACCTCAATGAATTAATTCTTCCACTTCTAAATTTTTGGTTTAACAAATTGTTAACTCTTAAGATTCCAACCTCTGGATTTTCAAGGGAAGTCCTACTGCCTGTACTGTGGCCTACACATTTCAGTTTGGCAATGGCAACCCTTTTCTGTAGTGCCCTGACGAACGACCTCTCCTCTGTTGGTATGTTAAAAGCTCCAACACTGGCCTGCCTTCAGCTTTTATTGAAAATGCATCTTTGCAGTTGGCTTCTCCTGCCACAAACTATTCTGAACTCTCTCATGCAATGTATTATTTTGTTTTTATTGTTTCACTGTCTTGTGGTATTGGTGCAAACCACTTAATGATCTGTACCCAAAAAGAACTATGGTGTGTGCTTATTGTTTTCTGCAACACTGTTCTTATTATACTCTTTGTATAAATTTAATAAATAGTATTGACAACAAACACATACATTTAAGAAAGTGAATAAATGAGGATTTGGGGCTAACATATCCAAGCTGCTCAAACAGATCCTTAGTGGGGATATTTATGTGTAAAGGAATGGAGACAAGAAGAAACACAACACTACTCTTTCTTAATTCAATCCAGTTTACAGTTTACAACGATAATAGCAATGGCTGTAACTGCAAGCAGGGGGAACCTTTGAGAAGAAGATGTATAATATGGTAGGTGTTCAGCAGCCCGCACACTGACCTCTCTACCCAGCTCTTATAACTAGGTATGTCCTTGGCATAAAGCAGCTTGTTGGAGGGGGAGTCTTTGCCCAGACGATGCTCTGAAGTGGAGCAAGAATCCATAAAAGTCTGAGCCACGACTGAGAGGCAGGCATCTGTGATACTTCCCTTGTGGATGTCAAAGACGAACTGTGGGTTTTTAATTACATTCACCCAGAAGCGGAGAGGAAGACTGTAAAAAAGGAGGACAGAAGCACACATTAGAAATTCAGAACATGTATTTACTACCTCACCACAGCTTTGCTCTCTTTTTATAAAATGGCATTTAAACGTGACAATAACAATTAAAATAATATTATGTATTTGGTAATAAAAGCTGCAAGCAGTACAGATAAGAATCAGAATCACCCCACACTAGTCCCAAATTTCAGCCAAGCGAAACATCTTTTTCCTTTGAGATGTTAGAACGATACACAGAATCAATCTAGGGATACTCTGTGTTCTGAATTTGTCATGTGCTTTTGGTTATTTGTGCCTGCCAAAGTGAAAATTTGTTACAGCAAGTTCAGAGAAATTCTTTTACGAAGGCCCTGTTATGTTACTGCTCTCCATATGACCATGTTTTGTACTTAACATGTTAATGAGCATGTTGTGTACATATCATTACACTTCCAGGGATCTACAATTTTTTGAATGAGGATCTGTCTTGGATCTTTCCTTTGGTCTCTTGAATCTTCTGTAATCTTATGTGAATCAGTGTTATTTTCACTTGCAAGGCAGTCTAGGCTGTCAGTAGATGCCACTGTTTGTCGCTTTTGCTCATAAAAGACACTGTTTTTGCTTGACAAACAGATAAAAGTTCGGTTTCCTTATCCAACCTATGAACATCCAAAATTCAGGTGACTGGCTATACAGAGAGAACAGCTGGAGAGCTCAATGGTTTAGGTATCTGGCTGCAAAGCAAAAAGTTGGGAGTTTGATTCCCCACTGTGCCTTCTAGACAGTCGCTGGACTCAATGATCCATAGAGTCCCTTCCAGCTCTGCAATTCTAAGATGGTGATGATGATGATATACTGTTCATACAAGCCAGGGATGGGCAACTGTGGCTCTCCAGATGTGGTTGAAATGAAATCCCTGTGGGCCTCCCTCTCCTATTTTGACCAATATTTACTTGCTAGAGAGAGCAAGAGACCACAGACATGTGTGCATATCATCTGTGGCTGAACTTGTCTCCATTTTAACCTTTCAACAACCCTGTGAGGCAGGTCAGGCTGAGAGCATAACTGGTCTAAAGTCACCAAGAAAGAGGACCACCACGGAGGTGTAGGCATTTCAATACAGCTCTCCTGAGTCCTTGCCTAATATTCAAACTACTTCCCCTGGCTAGGTTGATGGGAGTTGCCATCTAACAACATATTGAGAGCCACAATTTGTTTGTTTGTTTATTTATACCCCGCCTATCTGGTCTACTCGACCACTCTAGGCGGCTTCCAGTATAGGATAAAACAATAAAACACAAGAACATTACATGATCATTTGATACAGTTACAATAAAATAGAGTGAGAATAAAATAAGAAGGAATAGAAAAGAAATCAGGTATTGACTGGAGAGAAGGCCTGGATGTACAACCATGTTTTTAATTGGGTTTTAAAGATTCCCAGCGCAGGGGCCGCACGAATCTCTGAAGGGAGATTCCAGAGGCAAGGAATGCAATATATTGGCACTCTGACTGAAGGGAGGTTGTTCCAGAGGTGAGGAATGCAATCTATTGGCACTCTGGTGCAAATATATGTCTCTGAAGTCTGAAAAAGCATGGTTTCTCTTGTGCAATTTCCATCTACAGATATATGTCTCTGAAGTCTGAAAAAGCATGATTTCTCTTGTGCAATTTCCATCTAAGGATGTAAATAGCTGGAAAACCAACACACATCTTGTGCATAATCACATTGTCACATTGACAGGTGTTTTCTGAAAATCCTCCAGAAACCTTTCCCATTGTCTATGGTTTCAGACAGGTATCTTTCAGGTTCCCACTAAAAGCTATCAGCCGTTTATCAACATTTCATGTTTCTGTGTTGTACATATGTCTGCAGAGGACTAGCTGCAGTTCATAATCTTTGAAGGCATCTTACAAACTTTGTTTTTGAAGCTTTGGTATTGGCAATCAAAAGGGGAGCTATGATTTTCTCTGAAAGAATTACAAGAAATGTGGGGCTGGTTACAGGGATCACATAACACCCCTGTTACAGCAGGTCCACTGGCTGATGATCAGTTATCTTTCTCTGGAAGAATTACAAGAAATGTGGGGCTGGTTACAGGGATCACATTAACCCCCCTGTTACAGCAGGTCCACTGGCTAATGATCAGTTATTGGGGACAATTTAAAGTGCTGGTTTTAACCTATAAAGACGTAAATGGCCTGGGTCCAAGCTATCCCAAAGACTGTATCTCCCATTATGAGCCAGCTCGGGTGTTAAGATCATTGGGAGAGGAACTCCCTCCCACAGTATATGAGCCAGCTCGGGTGTTAAGATCATCGGGAGCATAACTCCCTCCCACAGGAGGCCAGACTGTCCCCATCTTTGCTATCCTTCTGCAAATAGGCAAAGACATTTCTCTTCAGGCAAGCCTTCCCTGTGTGTGATTTATTTTAGAGAGAGTGTTATGCATTATTGCTTTGACTGGGTTCTTAGTACTACTGGGATTTTCCATTTTTGTGTCTTCCATTTCTGTGAACGATATTTTAAAAAATTGTATACTCATATTTATTGATCTTTGCCTCAATTTTGCCTTTAATGATGTAAGATGCCTCCTTATTAATTGTTCGTAGTTTTAAAGACTGTGTCTTCCATTTCTGTGAACGATATTTTTTAAAAATTGTATACTCGTATTTATTGATCTTTGCCTCAGTTTTGCCTTTAATGATGTAAGATTATTAATTGTTTGTAGCTTTAAATTGTGTTTTAATGATGTTAACCACTGTTGTCTTTTATTGTTATGAGCTGCTTTGGGTCCTTTTAAAGGAGAAAGGTGGGATAAAAATATTTTAAATAAATAAGTAAATAAGAAAGCTGAGTTTTCCTGTTAGATATTTAATCTATGATGAGACATCTGGCTTCAATATGAAGTTATTTTCTTTTCATAAGAACTGCTGTGTACGTACATTCAGTGCTAGCTAGATTTCCCCTCTGATGCTGCTTTCATGCAACAGATTTTCTTCTCATTCTGTGAGAATACCAAACAAATTATCAACTTTGTTCCTAGTCAGGTACTTGTTTTGACTGACCTTCAAGCACAAAGCAAAACATCTCAATCTTGTTGGAAGTTTTATTTACAACCTTGTATGCTGTCTGTAGTTTTGAGTGACTGGGAAGGACTTTTGGGGGCTGGATTGGTTATCTTTCCAAAAATTCCTTCCAGTTTTTGAAATTCAAAGAGAGACCCGCCTCTCTGCTGAGTGTTCTATCCCTCTCTTTCATTGGTTGGTTGCAGCTCTTGGTGGCCTTTGATCTGTTTGGTTGGTTGCTGATATGAGTGCAGTAAAGAAAGCAGTAAGCACAGATCTGTAACTTCAAGTCATTGTAAGTAAAGATTTTTTAAAAAATTCTTCTTCCTACAAATATCTCAGAGTGAGTTATTGAGACTTTAGGTCCCAGATAATGAGAAAGAGGTGGACTTTGGGGAACTTGAAGCTATTCTGCTCTGTGGAACTCTTTACTTCTACTGCATAGAAAAAAGAGAATTTTACCAAAAATTAAAAACAATGCAACAAATCTTAGGTACTCTATGAGGATTAAACCTCCTCCCCCCAATTTTCTGGAACATTCAGACTATGGGTTTGTCCACACTATCATTTTTGGTTGCTCTGAGGTAGTCTGGTATTTTTGGTTCCAGATTTGAATAGATTAGCCTGCTATTTGTGTCCACACATGGGGAGGTTATTTGTTGCTAGATTTCTGGGATACACAGAGTTATCCCAGAACCACCTGTCCACAAATATCCAGAATTGCTCCCTAATGTCTCTGTCCCAATGCAGACTGCTTCCCCATGTTCTTCTCTGCTCTCTTTCTGCATACTTCAATTTCTTATCCTTCCCCTTGTCTTACCAGTCCACTATTATAAAATCTTCACATTTTTGTCCAATACTTTCAGATTTTTAACAAATGCTTTAGTTTTCAGCTTTGTGCTACAAGACCACTTTAAAAATTAGAAAGCAGAATGTTGAAAAAGCTGACATCTTCTTTTCCCCTTTTCTGCCTACTTTATTTTACCACCATTCCCAATGTTTCCTGTTTTTCTCTCAATGCTTTTTTTATTGTAGTTTTCTTTTAGTTTTCACTTTTGTTCTATGGTGCCAAAATTATAACATTTTTTTTTTAAAAAAAGGCAGAATGCAGGAATAGCTTATATCTCAAGAAAACTAAACAGAGGTGGTGATAAAGCCTGGAACACTGGAAACAGACCACTGGAGATATCTCCCTAGGTACACGATGTCAAATGACACATAGCCACATAGTGTGATCAGCATTCATCAATGTGGTACTGGATTCCACACCGGCAGATTGTGCACTGTAGCAAATTAAAACAAAACAGAACAAAAATACACCACCAGCTGGTTGTGGTCACACAACGCTGCCCCCTCCCCCTGAAAGCATGATCCTTTGTCTCACTTTGAAAATGTTGATGTTAGTTTCAATCTTGAATCATGTAGATACTGAGATGCAGTACTAGTATCACAGGTGTGAGAACAGTTGAACAAATGCTTAGTGGGGGCAGGTAATAAAAATAATTTCCCTCCATATCGTAATGACAGTGGCAGGCAAAGCACACATTGAAAAAATGTGGTGTAGAGCTATATCAAGGTTGACTTAGATCACAGAATAATGATAAAGTTGGAAGGGACCTACAAGGCCACTGAGTCCAACCTCCTGCTCGATGCAGGAAAATCGAAGGATATCTACCAGGTTGTCTAAATTTCTTTTGAATGCCTCCAGTGTTGGAGGACTCACCACCTCTCGGGGTAATTGGTTCCACTGCCGTACCGTTCTAACAGTTTTTCCTCATATTCAACTGAAATCTGGCTTCCTTTTACTTGAGCCAATTATTGCATGTCCTGCACTTTGGAATGACTGAGAACAGATCGACCACAGAATTCTGTGTTGATGCCACACATGCCTCTTAATCATGGTGATGTGACTCCCCATTTATAAAATTTGAACAAAAAGGCTGC